TATATATATATTATAAATCTACACTAAACAAAATGAATAGTGCACCAAAATTAAAGCATTTAGACTTTTATTGCTTGGATTTAGAACATTTTCCGCATTTTGTTTTGTTCAGTAGAAAAAGGTTCTACACTTATATTTGCACTTTTATCGAGTTTGCTCACGTTTTGCCTCACCTGGCCTGAGTGTATTGCATATAGTATTTTGTAGCCTCAGTCTTGGTGCTCATATACATTATAGTAAATACAATACAGTAGAAGCAAACCTTTTAATGCAAACGGTAAAAAAACGTATTGTTTCCACCTTATTAGCATCTAATAATAACTACATATAAATAGCCTACACTAGGGCTGCACAATATATCAAAAAATGTATCATCATCGCGATAATAGCCTGCGCAATATGCATATCGCAACAACTGCATAAACTGCAATAAACGGTTGACTCAAAAGTTTGTATTTAAGCGTTGTGTCATTCTGATGGAAGCTTGAAGTATTTCACCAATCTAATGGAGCCCTTCATGTATTTGGTCAATTGGATAGGTCTTTCATTAAAAAAAAATCAGGCTGGAACGGAAATTATTAGGGTATTTTTTTTTGTCTATGAACCCAGAGCAGAAAGATCTCAACACTACACATGTATTTTTTTCATTTATCCCAAGTCATATCGTCTAAGCACTGTTATCACACATCGCGGGTTTACCTAATATTGTGCAGCCTAGCCTACACTTGTGACACCAGCACCCTGCTGTGTAAGAAATGCTTTTGAACCATGTACRTTTGTTTCAAGATGCTTTTTGAACTGCTTTGGTTATTATTTGTGCCTCTAACATCCTTCCATTAAACTAGGAGAGCTTTGATTTCATACAGTTTCCTGCAATGTGCTGGACTCATTCACCCCAGGAGGAAAGACAAATAAAGTCTACAAAGGGAGGAAGACAAGCTTGAATCTCGCCAGTTCATATATCACTACAGAGCAAACGTGCACCTAGGCGTTCACTCTCCCTCACACACACATTAACCCTTGCACACAACAGACAAACGCCTGTGAGAGAGGGCGACTTTTAAATTGCTCAAACGGAACCGCTGGGAACTTTGTTAGGCGGCGCGTGGATTCTACTGGGTCAGCAAGTCCTGCAGAAGGTCCAGCTCATCAACCGAGTGTGTGTTTGTTTCCAGGCACATGCAGCGGTGCGTGGGCGTTCGTGTTTGTGTGCAGGAAAGGCAGCAGAAACGCTGACGGGGCACAAGCCGGGCTGTGCACAGGACTTAATTGACGGACCTTATCTAAACTCATCAACATTCCCAGTGAGTGCAGGGAGGAGATAAAAAAAGAGGGAAGCAGCAGCATGCATGCCCCCCGTGCTGTCCCAGCTAACGAGTGACACAGGGTTTCCAAACCAGCTGTGTTTTCTTACCTTACGAGGCTGGAAATCATACTTCACACAGTGTTGAAAGCCTTTTCCTTTGGACTTCAGCGACGTCACGATCAGACAGTTTCCCACAAAGTGAGCCGAGTAACCGATTCCTTTACTCGTTCGGAAACTGTGAAAATGACACCAAATTAACATTTAAGAAAYGAGGCAAATTTTGAATTCCTGCACGACTGAAGGAAAAGCACATTTCTAATTATTTAAGCCACCTTTGACAAAAAAGTAGCCTTTAAAAATACTTTTTTTGCAGCATCAACAGGATTCCCAGATTAGTTTTTTCAGGAACGTCACTAATCCCCTCTGGCTTCCGTTCCCCACCCACATCGCAACATTTCTCATCCAACATTCCTAACATCCACGTAAAAACACAGTTTCACAGCTAGGACACATTTCCCTCCTGAAACAGGCCCAGAAAGGATCCCACGTGCAGCAAAGCCAGAGAGCAGATATAAATCCCTCTCAAGTGAATCCCTGGTTTACATTAGCGGTGTGTTAAAGAGGGTTATCATGGCCGTCATGGCACTGCAGAGGCCACGCTGTCAAACACGCTGCTAGAGTAGCAGCTGCATCTGGGGGAGGATGATAAGGCCTGGGCCAGAAGAGAAGAGAATGTCCTCTTTCTCCTGCGCTTCACTTACCGTGAAAACCTGACAAACGGTTACTAAGGAAACAGGATTACATCCGAACACTTTACATGATTAGAGCTCATCTCTGCGATGGTATCTGCTGCAAATGTGGCCGCGTGTGATTCTTCTTTTAAAGACAGTGGCTGCCTAATTCTTCCTGTTGGTGACTAATTTTCGACTCAGTTAGGGGTGAAGGAGGGATGATGCTAGTTTGCATCGCAGAGTGAAGAGGTGGATGGAAGARGACGAGCGAAGGAGTTCAATTAGACAAAAGGTCAAAGCTAATGAAGCGTCACACTGGCTAGCGGCACGCGCTTGCATCGCTAACAGTGAGGCCAGTGCTGCACAGCGTGCAGAGGCATCCACCAGACGCACTCATACCGAGTCTTGACATTTAAAGTTTTGTTCTAATTTGATAAAACATTTACCTTTGAACTCGTGGTTTATGTCTTTCAGTTTTATCGYTCGAGTGTTTACAATCTGGAAATCTAAAATGAGGATGATTTGTTCATGGTCAGGGAAAACAAGGAACATAAAACAACCAGATTTTTCACGTACAAAAAGAGCAACACTAAAGGCATCCTGGGTTAAGAGCTGTTTGCAGTGGTGGGCACAGTTCYCCTAAAGCACTAATGGGGGACTAATTTCCTGATTAGTGCTTTAGGGCTTTTGCTGTTTTTTAAAATCATTAATACCGTATTTATTTGTGTATAATATGACCCCCCTTTTGAGCTTAAAAAGCATAAAAAAATTTAATCCTGAAACTACCTCCAATTTCATACAGACTTCAAGATTTTTCAGCCTTGGCAGTCTTTACACATATTAGTAAAATGATCATTGCAATGTTCATTTTATTTTAACAACATATGTACTAAAAGGTATTTTGACAACAAATATAAATCAGCTGTAGCAGCATCATATGAATTCTGACATTTTACACATAGTCCACCAGGATGCACCAACACAAAAGTCAGAGACTTCACATGAGATTTGGGCCATCTTCTGGGGCAAAAGCAGATTACTTCCTACTCGCGAGCGCCCCCTCTGGTGGGGAAACATTTTTTCAGGGATACAAACTTTTTCAGAACACCGGTAGACGGCAGCCATTACAGAACAACATGTGTTTGTTGTTGTTCGAGGAGCGGCCCGGTCACACGCTAATGTCATTAGTTTGTTATCATTACAAAAGGTGCAGGAATACTTTTTTCCCCTTTTTTCACATCATGTCGTCTGCCTGGATCTGTTATTATCTCGCTCTGAAGCACGAAGGAGTGTCAGAGGTAAGCTCGCTTCAACTGCTTTCTATGATGCGGTCTCATTTAAGGACTCAGGCATTTTGTGAATGAAGCCGGTTTTTCAGTAAAAATACATAAGTAAAAATATTTATCCGAGTATAGTACTACCCCCCAACTTTATGGATGATTTTATGGATTTAATTTTACGTATTATACTTGAATAAATACGGTGGATTAGCACTTGCTAAATTTAGAAGCACTAACTGATCTCTTTAAATGTCATTGATCAACATTATTGTTCACAGTTGAGGATGAAAACTGTCATACATTTTCTTCATATGCGTGTCACTTATCTTCAAGGTCACGTGTCAAACTCAAGGCTCGCGGGCCATATGTGGCCTGCGGGTGACTCCCATTTGGCCCGCCAAGGGCACTAAGTGACAACATTCTGCACATAGTAAATATTGTCTCATGTTGACTCTGAAGAATGTTTCATGTGTCATCTGGATTATATTAGTTCTTTAGAATTAGCTTTTGCTAAATTTTTCAGTGTGTTAGTGCTTTAGAGTTAGGGGACCAAAATATTTGAGTTAGTGCTTTAGGGTTAGTGCAACTAATATTTAGATTAGTGGTTTGTTTTTCTTAAAAATATAGCCTTAAATATGTTTGTTTATATGTAAGCATGAAAGACTAACATAAAACCACAAGGTTTTATAGTCATTAAGTAAAAAAATAAGCAACACAATCTCTAAAAACTGCATGTTCAATAGTTTYAAAAAGGTCATTTTAGAAAATCCTTTTACTCAATAACTTTGATCTAGTCCAGAAGAAAATGATCTACTCACCAGTAGAGGTAGGGTTTGTCTTTATCCACATTGATGTTGTTGAGTGGATCCTGCCTGAACCAGGTGTTGATAGTGAATCCGTTCTGGTATGGCCATTTGGCRATGGGTGGCAATGCGATAGCCTGGTGGAGGAATCACATAAAAAAGCAGCTTCTGTCAATATGTAAAACAATTATGACAACAATCGCCTTATTCTGGTAGACTAAAGAGTTTGTGCACAGGTAGACACGAAGGGTATGAAAAGATCTGTAGTAATTTAGGTGAAAAAAATCATATTTTTTTTGCAACAAATGTGCTCATCTCACCGCTGCACTGCGTCCTGGAAAGTTGAAGAAAGTGTCGGGACCGTGCCTCTGAGGCATCTGGTTCAACACTGACAAGAGCTTGATAGCATGTCTTGGCTAGAAGAGGAGAGGAGAGGAGAAAGTAATCATCGTTATTATATGACAGATGTTGTCTATTAGGACAGTGAAGACTGTTGGAGAAAAAAAAGTAGTGTGGCACCACAACCCCACCAGATCAATAAGTCTTCAATCACCTCCCTCRACAACAACCTATGGCGACCTTTAATCGATTTGTCTCTAGAGAGGGTTTCTGTTGGGGGAGGAGCTACTAGAATTGACTGAGGTGTAGGGGTAAGGTAGATGGGCTGAAAATAGTTATTGGACAAGAGGAGGTACTGYGAAATGGTTGAAGGTATGGATCAGTGATCAGTGACCAGAGGTGGTGGAGCGTCTGCCTGATGGTAAGGTCGATTGAAAAGGGAGGAGCATTAGTAATGGAAACCAACTGATCACACATTCTCTACACCTACTAACCTAAAACAGATAGTTCAGATTTTTTGAAGAAAGTTTTTGTTGAAAGGTCATATACCTCATCTGTTGTGGATAACATTTTTTTACTAAATCAATCTAACCAGATTAACACTAATGGCCACTTCTAATGGGGTCAAAACCAAAGTGCTGTTCTAAAACAAAGTACAGGGGTTAGACAATAAAACYRAAACACCTGGTTTTAGACCACAACATCCCTTTCAGACAGCTTCCTCTTGCRTCCACAGTTAATCCTGTTGGATGTGGTTGGTCCTTCTTGGTGGTATGCTGACATTACCCTGGATACTGTGGCTCTTGATACATCACAAAGACTTGCTGTCTTGGTCACAGATGCACCAGCAAGACGTGCACCAACAATTTGTCCTCTTTTGAACTCTGGTATGTCGTCCATAATGTTGTGTGCATTGCAATATTTTGATACTTTACCCTGCTAATTAAACCTTCACACGCTGCTCTTACTGGTGCAATGTGAAATTTATGAAGACTGACCACCAGGCTGGTCCAAATTAGTCATGAAACCTCCCAGACTAAAATGACAGGTGTTTCAGTTTCATTGTCTAACCCCTGTAGGTTCAAAATGGATAATTGTAAATATAATTTTATAAGCTTTATCAGTTTTGTATTACATTGTTATTTACAGCAGCAGTAACAGCTAACTGTAGCACTTCCAGTGCAGACTTAGTTAGTTCCTGCAGGAATGTAATAATATTTTTGCTTGAATAAAAGACACAAAATAATGCAAAGTTAAGAACCACAAACGTATATTAAAACTAGGGCTGTCAAATGATTAATATTTCTAATCTGATTAATCCCAAAGTAGCTGGGAATTAGTCAAGATTCATCATGATTATTATACATTTATGTTGCATATTGA